AATATTTTGGAAGGCAGGAGAAAAAAAAAAAAAAAAGGGGCAAAAAAAACCCCAAAGAGCAAAATCATCAAATTTCTGTTTTGTAAAAGTCTCTAAGATGTCTCTAATCAGCTGCCTCTGCAGTGTTCATTTCAGAAACTTTCTTAGCTCAGACCTAACTTCATATGAAGGTTCCTCTGTGGTCAATGATGAGATCTCGCCCTTGGGAGCTGCAGTTCTGAGCTGCTCTGACTCCTCCTTCAGAGGGACCTGTAGCCTTCTGCTGTGACCAGGGCAGCAAATTCAGCCACCTCAACTAATCCTCTGTGCAGAGAGGAGAAATCCAAACCTTAACAAGTCTGAAAGTTTTTCCCTTGAGCGGGAAGTGGAGCTTTGCCTTTTGAACTTTCCAATACTGAACAATGCAGAGAACAAAATATTTCCATGCCAGCAACTTCTTACTCAGTTAAGAGACATTGCCACTGGCTTTAAAGTCCTTCATTGCACAATGGATGCATTGTTGTGCTCCAGGCACTCTGGAAATCATTTGGAGCTATTTTTTTCTGGGGTTTTGGGTCAGGGGTGTTACTTTTGGGGTTTGTCCTTTTTTGTCTTGATCAGTTTGTTTTATAAAATACTTCATCATAGCACAACAGAGTCTGTGTAAATAGCAAGGGGGATGTCAAAATCAAAAATTATCACAGCTATGACCAACTCTATCTTTTTAATTAAACAAAGATTGTGATAGTTCCTAAGGCTCTTGGCACATTGCATGTTTCTGGACCATTCTTTATTCAGCAGCTTCTTGTAGAAATCAGTTAGCCCCTGAAAGATACCCTGGAGATGTGCTCCTTTCTATTTATGGTTCGGGGGTTACAAGAGTAAGGATATGAGTTCATTCCACTGCACTAGGATGGCTGGGGAGCTTCACTGCTGTCATTCCATGCCTAATAATTTACACCAGTACTGACTCCATAGTAGCTGTACACAGTCCATCAACAAAGTCTCTTCAGATCATTTACTTTCTCTGTGTCTAGTCATTATTGACCAGCAGTGGTTTTTCTGCATTAGGCTCTGCAGTTCTGGGCTGATTTCTGTAATAATTGCCAGAAAAGTTACAGGAAAAAAATCCCCCTGAAATTCAACAGTCAGTGCTGTCCAGACTTTGGATGGTAGGTTAGTGCTTCCTCACTGGCCACATGTTCACCTCCATGGCAGTAGTACTAAACTGGAAAATAAAATCTATATTTACCAATAACAGTTAATTTAAGTTTTCCAGAAAGTACTGGATGGGCTAGGTACAGGCAGACATACAAAGAAAAAGTTTAAGAGGTTATCATGCTAGGTATAAATATTATATCTATCTATCTATCTATCTATCTATCTATCTATCTATATATATATATATCTGTGTGTGTGTGTGTGTGTGTATAAAAAGGTGTAGATTTGTTATGCTTATGTATATATAGCATATATATACATAACTATATATATATATATATATAATGTTTTATTTGCTTGCTGGCTGACTGAAGCTATTCAATAACAAGATGTGAAATGTCTAGTCAGAGGCAAGGTCTTGTCACCACTCAGTGTCATGATCTGACATATTGTTTCAGTATTTCAGCTGTTTGGAAGCGAGTCTCTGGAGCCTGGAAGTGGCAGATCGTTGGGAATCACAACAATTTTTTCCTTCGTTTCCAGGACTGAACTGTAGCTCTTTTTGGTTAAATCTTGCCATCTATCATACTGTCTGCTACAGGAAAACATATGTTTTAAGGAGCCAGAAGCATTATCTCCTTCCATGCAAGGCATTTACTAGGTGAAACAATTCATGTCATATCATGAGCCAGCAGTCAGTTGCTGTCTTTATGGGTTTGTGGAATTTCAAGACCTAAACAATCTCATTTTCGGTGGTTTTACTATGTATTTTAAAGAAGCATCAATGAGATATAAACTTAGTGTTTAATAACCCATAAAACATGCCACAGCAAAGTTTTAACTACAAGGATCTGTAAAAGAGGTTTGAAGTACATTGCAATATCCTTTTGGGATGCCAATGCAACTAATGAAAGGGTCTAGACAATAAATTGGGCTAATTGCTGAGTTACAAAGGCCTTTCTTTGAATTTTCTTTTCTTTCTTCTTTTTGCATTTCTTAAAACTTTTTCTCCCACCTGGCAATCTTGCTTTGTCATGAATTCCTGTCCTTGATTCTGTAATAGCCCTCATAAAACTTTGCAGCATTGAGCATTTGTTTAATACAGAGGGGGTTTTGCTGTCTCTGGCTCAGGCATTTGCTGACTCACTGCAGTACCATTCTTTGTATTCAATTAACTGCAAAACCCAAGAAGCAGCAAAATTACTAACTGATCAGAATTCTTCTGAAATCAGTGTGCATTCTTTCCATCTGACAGCTCTTGTCTGTACTGTATAAAAGAGGGCCACACTCACATAGTCCAAAGACCCCCTAAATCTCTGAGCAGAGCCTTGTTCTTTGCCATCTCCAGGCAGACTGATGAAATTTGGGTGGAAATGTGACCAGTGTGATCAAGTACCTATCACAAATCAGACAGGTGACTAGTGTGATCAAATAGCTATCACAAGTCATATTGCTTCCTAGGCTTTTAAAATGGCAGGTGGCGTGTAGAAAAGAGTTTATTCCTCTGTTGCCTGTATGTTCTGTTGGTTTGTAGATAGAGGTGGATTGATTTCAGCACCCAAAATGCTGTTAGGGCAAGTTGCCCTGTTTGTGACACTTCCTACAGACTTCCTACAGCATGTTTTCAGACCTGCCTGGGGTCTCAGACTAACCATAATACATTTATTTGGCACTTAACAGCGATGTATTTATTGTCATTATTACTCACCCATAAATTTGGAAACTTACAGTACATGTCTGCTCATTGCTTTTTAACTGAAATGTGAAAACACTGTGGGATTTCCCTTTCAGGCCTCTTATTTCAAATGTTTTATTCCACAAACACTAAGAGAAGGGTAGATCATCTCTGATTTAGGTTGACCTGGGTCTCCACTTGTTCTTGCCTTCTGCACACCAATATCAGTAGAGTTACAGTGACATAAACCAGAAGAATACAGTCAAAAATCAGATCCTTCCTACACCAAATCACTTTCCACATCTGTTTCCTATTTGTCTTATAATGACACATGTGATTATTTTGGGAATATATTCTGCTTTAACTGTCATGCCACTGACTCTCTAGCCTTATCAGATATTAATTGGTATTCAGGTTGAGCAATTACCATCTACTAAGGAGAAATGCCAAGAAAATGTAGATTGATAATAACATTTTTCAATAATAGCTTGTAGCATTAGTGCCATCTTCTATTATTGCAGTTGAGGTTTAGCATTCTCATCAATTTACTACTTTTATTTATTGTGCAAAATCTAGATATGGACCCTACAGTAGAATTCCAGAAATGCTTTTCTGTTTGATTATTTATTCATCTCTGGTTAGAAGGAGCAAAGCCAGAAGACTGGAGAGAGGGAAGGAATGTGTCTGGATTATTAAGAACCAGAAAGAAAGACAACAGGAGAGAGAGAAATGTTAATATTGTGTCAGATATTACAGATACAGGATGACTGTATAAACATAATCAGGCAGGCTACATGTACAAGAACGTGCCTTGGGAGATTTTCTGGGAGCAAACTTCACTCAGCTGTGTCCAACCTTTTTTATTTTACAGTGCAGTAAGCCATAGATGGCTATCCCCCTAACAGTTCATTCTCCCTTCATCTTTTTCTTCAGTGAGTGGAAGGAAGTGTGAAATCCATCTCACGTTCTATTGAAAATACGTAATAAATACACACAGATACATGCTTGTGTGATGTAATTGAACAAGCCTGTAATAAAATCTGTAGCCTGTGGCTTTACAGAATCATGGATTTGAAATAACACAGTTTGGAAGTGTGTTTGGTCACTAGCCTGGCCTATGCCTGGGTTCAGTATGGATGATCAATACAGGGAAGGCAGGGAGCCAGGGAGGATGCTGCTTCCAAGGTGGAGGTTGATCTCTTCTCTTTGGGGCTCCTTGACTTAATTAGGTGTCTGCAAATTAACCACAGTGCAAGTGGGAAATGGAAATCCCAGGTTTTGCTGAGGTCTTCACAAGTCTTTTGTGAATATTGAAGACTTCTGTGCACAACGCATCTATTCTTCTGGTTTTATCCTCAGTGCAAAGTGTAAGATAAACCTACTATTCAAATTGATTGGCAGACTTGGTCTCCCTGTTAAAATTAATTAAATGTACTGAAAAGCCCATTGCTTTGGATTTATTTACCTCATTTGAGTTGGTGTTGACTGAGGCCCTTTTTAATCTTGGTTTATATTCCCCTATGATTTGCCCTCAGCCTGTATATTTTAAAAGTGTCATCTTAAGGTGTCGAGTAGTAGTAGTAGTAGTAGTAGTAGTAGTAGTAGTAATAATAATAATAATAATAATAATAATAATAATAATAATAATAATAATATCTTTCCTGATGCAATTGAAATTGAATTTGAGGATATACTCAGGCTAGGAAAAGCAGAATTTAGCATCATGTTATGTACTAATCTACAGTGGTGGCGCATTTCAGAAAATAATAGTCAGTAAAACATAGATTTTATCTTTTTTTTAGATAAAAGTTTCAAATTCCTGCTTCTTCAGTTACTGTTACTCAGATGTATTCTCAGTGAAAGCAAAAATAATTCAATAAACACATGAAAATTAATATGAAAATTAATTATATGTGAAGTGCAACAGAAGAGACACAAGCTGTTTATGTGTATTTTTGCCTTTGACCAGCATTCAGCACATACTGATTAGGAGATGGGCACTTTTACCAGGTCCTCACCCAGTGCAATTTGACTTCCCTGAAGCCACAAACCCCACTAAGACTGACATACACGTCACTCTTCTTGAACACAGTTCAAATTAATTCTTAGTTTTCTTTAATGAAATAATGTTGCTTTTACCTTCTTTTTTATTTTTTAAAAATTTTTATTTTTTTTTATTTCACAGGACAACATTTTTAGAATGGAAGAGTCACATTTTGAAAATGGGCGGGGGAAAAGCCCTTATGATCCCAAACTGCTGACAGCTTCACTTTTAGTAGGTAGGTGCCACATAACAAGTTCAATGAGATGTGCATTCACTGTTAATAATTTGCCAGTTTTCTGCTTTTTTTTTTTCTCCTTGCAGGACCTAAAATAGGCATTTGTTTTATGCAATTTATTTCCAGGTTAAAGCAATTCTGGTTTACCTTTAATACAGCTGACCCAAATGTCCTGAGGTGTAAACCAAAATTCAGGTGTCACAAGAGCTGCTTTATACCCCATTGGTACCTTGACTCTGCTGAGTGTTTTTCCTTCTCACATCTTGGTGGAAGCATTTTAATCACCCAGTTCACAGGCTGGCCACACTGGTGGTCACACAAGCACAGCTGAGAGCTAAGTGAGAGCAGGAATAAATAATTCCTTACATCAGTTTTTCTGCCAAGGAATGTCTGTCACCCAACTTTACCTTGCATGGAAGCTGGAGATCAATGACCAGTCCCTGGTCCAGGCCCTAAGGTGATGTTTCAGCTGAAGAGATTCTGCTGACAGTAAATAAAGTTAAATTCCTGGCCAGATCAAAAAGAAATAAATTAAGTGTTTCTGAATTGGCAATACTTCATTTCATGGAATATGTAAATAGGGAGGAACTGGACTGTGTCAATCTAATTGAATGAATGCAATTGATTTAATTTATCTAATTGATTTAACTTATCTAATTAAATTAAATATGTTCATTGTTATTACTTCACCTTCACAAAAAAGGCAAAAGGATGTTTTATGAGACTAAATTAGGATGAAACAGATTCTTCTTTCCCTACACCTCTGCCTAGGTGTAGCCACCTTATCTTTAACATCTTTACATGTAATTTTCTGGCACTTTATTACAACTTTAAATCCAACAATAGTTTGAGAAAATTGGAGATTCTCATTTCTCAGAAGTCTTCAGGAAATGACACATAATGAGATACATTGGTTTATTCAGACCTTTGTCCATATTGTTACCCTTGGGCCTTGCTTACTGTCTGCCCTTATTCTATTTACTTTGCATTTAAAAATTAAGCTATTCAAAATAGACGGCAACAAAAATTTAGTCCTAAGTGTGCCTCATTTCCTGATGTTAAAAGCCCATAATGATCCCAGGTGATGAGCTAACCTGGGGACACATGCTTTTTAACAGGAAAAACAGGAAAAACATCCACATCTTGCTCCAACTTGTACCCTGTACAAACAGAAACAAAAAAGTGTGTGTAAAAGGCCAGTGTATAAATTGGTGCCTGGAGCAACTTGAATTTGTGACAGAGCTACTCTCAAGTGAATAGCTTTACTATTTACTTTAATATACAACAAAGAAGAGAATGATGACAAGCCAGTATTACATGGTATAACCGGTATGCAACTGCACAAAGTCAACAGCATCTAGCTTTTCACATTCCTTTTTTTTTTCTTTTTCACTCAGTCCGTCACAAATATGATTATCTTACTTCCCTTGGCTCAGATTTCATGTCTTTAATACATCTTTGCTTTCTTGAGCCCCCTTCCCGTCACTATAATTTTCACTCCCATGTATATTTTCTTCTAATAAAGAATAGACTGAGCATGATCATTTGTTTTCAATCAGGCCTCAGTTAGAGCCACTGGGTGTAATAACACAATAGAAAATGGTGCAAATTGAGCATTCAAAGCCAATGAAAAATTTCTGCTTCAGTCACACAAAACTCAAGGTGAAGCTGAAATTAGCATTCCTGCATCCTGAACACAAGCAGCCTTCTTTCTCTGTCTCCTTATATTTGCCTCACAGCCACACTGCATTACTGGTTATGATGTTGCATTTACTGCAACCCTTTTCTGCAGAGTGTGTATTGGAGAGGGTGTATGCCAAATTCACCACTGGTTCTTTGCCTAAAAATAACTCCTCTTTGCCAAAAAACACCTTGTTTTATGGTAAATTGATGACCTAAGGCAAAATGATTTCCACCCCCAAAACAGTTGAGAAACAGGGGATGAACTGGCCAAGCAATGACTGGAGATGGAGAGGTTTGGTCCAGCTGCTGTCCAAAGCGTGGAATCACAGGAGGGAAGCAGTGAGTGAGGCCATGAAGGCCAGGGGAGCCTCTCAAACACAAAGATGTCACAACAGGAACATGGATACACTGCTGCTTCTCTTCTCCTGGGCTGAGCTGTAACTCAGCTACTCCTGGCCCTTCACGTGACAGAATATTTGTCCTCTTTAGTGAACATGGTTTATCTAAGATTTAAGAGGGCAGCTATGTAAAAGAATTCCCCAGCATTCATTAAAATGCAATGGTATAATTAGTAATTGAAAGTAACTATCAGGAAAGTAAAAAAAAAGGCTGAGAAGAATAATTTAGATGGTTACTGAGAGGAAGGAAGCATTATCTCTCTTCTTCATCAGAAACACTAAACAGATATTTTGCAAAGTGTGGAAGGACAATGTTTTTGCCACCATAACTAGAAACTAAATTTTAGGTAAGTGAAATGCAGGAATTTGGGCAAAACATGAATGTTAATTTGCAAAAAAAGTAACTTCAGGTCTTAAATAGCCATTAGTACCCAGGAGGCCTATTCTGTATTTCACCTGAAACAAGCTCTTACCAGTGTAAAGAGGATCTTCAGTTTTCCCTCTCTCCTAAAAAAATCAATATTATTTGAAAAAAAAAAGCCACACTAAAGCAAAATGAAAATAAACAGTTCATCATTATTAAATTGTTCCAATATTTTTCCAGTATACATTCCTTGTTCCATCCACCTGCAAACATTTTTCATTATTTTTTTAACAGTTGTTCATTAAAGTTGGTTATTGCTACCCTACTCTAAAGTAAATGCCAGCTGGGAACATGATACAAGTGGTTCCTAGTAATGTAAGACACTGTGCAGCCATTCCCATCTATGTGCTGCTAACTAAACACTCTCCATTTGAGTGGGCTAATGCATGAAATGTAGAGACCAAGAAATCCCTGGGCACCACTCAGGAGTATTCCAGTGCGGGAGGAAAATGAGAAGCAGCATGGTTTCCAAGGAATATAATCACAGGAGAAAATATCACTGAATGTGTTAGACTAAAGGAATTGTATTGGGACAGTTGGAAAAAAACCAAAACCAACCCTTCAGAGAAGGAGGCAGCATTGTCCCAACTGTTTGTTTAGGGAAATGACCATTTGGGATTTTCAAAAGCTTTGGTTATCCAGAATTCTCAAAGCTTTTTATGCTCCTGTGTCTCACTGATTTTTTTTCTTTTCTTTTAAAATTCACAATTCCTTTTAGATTTTAACAATTATTTAATCTTTCATTTTTAAAAATCAGTTTAGGTGCCATAATGCTCCCAAATATTTAATTATGTGATCTGAATGACAGTGGCATTTCAGTAGTTAGGAACTTCAGTACTCTATTTCTTAGAAATTAGCTAGTAAGTACATATGAGCTTCAAGATTTTAAAATGACTGTACTTTCTAGGAAGTTTTAGTTACTGACCTCAAAAGAAGTGAAGTCAAACCACCTCTATGTCTGAAAATCTTAAATTTAGTGAATAAACCTTTTAACCAAGGATAGATTTCATTTGTGAACCCTTTTACCATTGAGAGCAATTGTGACATTCAGGGCTTGGTTTTGCCTATATTCCTCATTCATTCAACTTCCTTACTACTTTGAAAATAAAGTTTACAGTTTTTTACTCTCTACAAATTATTTTCTTTCAGAATGCAATCTTACTTAAAAGCTGAATAGAAACAATTTATCAAATAGATGCACTTTGCATAGTTTTCAACATCTTTGTATCTCATGACCTTGGGGGGTTACTCAGAGTTCTGTGCTGTTTATGTAAAGGGTTCCTCCCCTCCAAAAATCAGCATTACTATGGACTTTAATTGTTGCCTCTTTATTCAGTAAAGTCAATATATGTATCTCTGTTTGCATTTGTGTGTCAGCATGCTGCTCCTTTACAATAAGTGGTTTTGGTCCAAAACATATTTTTTACCAATGCAAACAACTGAAGGCCACCCTTTAGTTCTGGACAATGGTTCCTTTGTGCTGCTGGGCTTGAAATACAAATTGACTAATTTTTTCTTTTTCTTTTTTTTTTCTCCTTCATTCTTTCCCCTTGATAAATGTTTACCAGTTTTCAAACTATTAATTTACACTTTCTTCTTAAACTTTATAAAACTTCTTTTTAAACTGCTAACAGTAGAAGTAACACAGTGAAGACTATCTGTGACATTAAAGAATCATTTTCCAGACTAGCAATGAGTAAATTTCAGTCCAAAAGAAAGTATGTACAGGGAAATAAAGATGAATGTACATCTATCTAGACAGGAGGCAGAATCCTCATATAGCTTTTGCATAGCACTAACTCAAAGGATGTGCACATCTGGGACATGACTTGAGGCTCACCCTGAATTTTGCAAAAATTATCTAAAGCCTTACAAAAATAAATGGTATTCCTTGGTATTTCTGTCTGGAAGAAGTCAAAATCCCCTTTTTGCATGACTACAGCAGATCAGTTCAAACTGCAGGCAGTGGTTTAGGTATACTGAAACTTGGAGGGGCTGTAGTAGGGATGATAGAAAGGTCAGATAGTTTTCTACAGACCCTTCCTCATTTGAAACATGCTGAAGCCAGTTATTGGCAAAACTTTTATCTTGTCACCATTGAAGAAGTATCAGCCACAAGAGTCTTGTAGTGTCCTCTTGGGTTGAGCTGAGTCCAGCCTGGAAAATATGGACTTTAATTGTTGCCTCTTTATTCAGTTCATTTCCAGTGGTTTTTATATATCAAGTTAGAAACTGAGGTGTCAAAACGACCTTACAATTCTAAATATTTCAAATATATAATTTTCATTAGTTTTCAAAACGCATTTGGTTAAATTTTAGCAATATAGTATTAAATATAGATTTTTTTTCCTTGACTGATTGACCTTTAGATCTGTTGATAACTAAGAAGAAAAATAGCCCTTGTTGGTTTTTCCTTTCCTCTTTGATTTCTATTGATTTATCAGAACTCACTGGGGATTGAAAGACAAGAAAATGAAGATAAGGTTAAAGAAAGGTTAAGCATAGCATCAAAGCCCTTTTCACAGGCAAAAAGGTTTTATGATCTTTAAAATCTCAGCTGCATACTCTGTACATAATAATAACTATAATTAAGTGATTGTCTCCCCTTCAAAAAAAGTTGAAAATGACACAGAAGAATGGTAAATCGTTAATTAATGATATGCTGCTCTGTTTCCCTTCTGATTACACCTCCTGCTGGGCATGACTGGTCTATTTGCTTCTAATCTCTGCTGTGAATTCATTCAATTCCACGCCTTTCCGCTATCATGTTTTCACTCTTCCTGACTTTCACAGCTACCATATGGTTACAGAGCCACTCTAGGTTCAGTTGGTGATTTCATGGTGTCAGTGTTCAGGGGAAAAGATGACAGGGATATCCAGTAGGCATGCTTGGATCTGGTTGTCCTGCCATGGAAATACCTAAAATTGCCATGAAAATGATAAGCTTGTTCCTAAAAGGGTGTTTTAAAATGAGGATATGGTAGAGTTCATCATGACCATGAAAAATGTATTACCTTAGCTAAAAGAAAGTTATTTTATCCTCAAACTTGTCTTTTTCACAAGGGACCCGTGTAATATGGGTAGTTTGAAAGTAGTAGCTGGAAGGAATAATGCTTTTCAATTCCATTTTAACAGGATAAGGTAGGTTATCTCATTTCACATACAGATGTAGAACACAGTCCTAAAAATGCATTTTTAGCATTTTTGATTCAGAGTGATTTCATGGACAAGCTGTAAATTAATGTCAGAAAGATATGTGTAGTACTTTGATCCCTGGTTCTTTTCTGTGGCTCTTGTTACAATGTCATTATTATTATTACACCCTCTTCCAGCTGGCAGGTATTTAACTTGACCTGCTCCTTAGAATTTAGACAGTCTCTCTCTCTCTCTCGCCACCCCCTCTGTCTCCTCTGTGGCACTTCTAGCTGGCTGAGGAGGGACACACTGGGATGAGTTTCATCTCCAGCTAGGCTGTGTGTGTGCCATTTATGGGCTGAAGTATCATAGGTCAATTTTCAGTTCAGTTGTTCACTGTGAAATGCATGGGGGTCAAGGTAGCAGGGAATGACCTCATTTATTTTCTCCCTCAGCTGTTGCCCTTTGCCAGTACCAGTTACAAAGGTGGGCAAAGGAGAAAGGCATGTTCTGTCTTTCCTGTAAAATATACTGTTTTCTGATGATCTGCTCAGAAAAAAAGAGTAAAACCAAACCATAATAAAATGGCAACAACAACAACAACAAAAAAAAAAACAAACACCAAAAGCAACAAATCCCAAAACTAAAACCCAAAACAAAACAAAAAAAGCCCCTTAAACGAACCAAAGTAAAAACCACATAGTTTTTATAGGAAAAATTGAAGGGCCTAAGGACTTTCTGAAGCAAAAGTGACTGAGCTGGACTCTTCAGTTCCCAGAGTCACATAAACCCAGTAGGTTGGAAGGGCTCCAAACCAAACTCCTGTTCTAAACAGGGCAATTTCACACTTAGGTGGGTTTTCTGAGGCTGCATACTCCTGCCTGCCAGGGTAGGTGCACTGGCTGTCACTGTTCCAGCCTAAGAATTCAGACACATTTTTGCAAAGCACACCAGCAGTCTGCAGATACAGCTCATTTGCAAGAGGTTACAATTAAGCTCTGCAGTGAGAAATTGGGTCTAATCTCTATTTTCAATGACAATACGTTGCATATGGCCTGTTGTTTTGTAATTTACTCATTATCCCTATTAGTGAAATATGAACATATGACAGCTTTCTCTGACTTGCCATGACTGGAAAATTGGGGAATATTGCTTACAATTATGTCCTCCTGCAGATGGAGAACTGTACTCTGGCACAGCAGCAGACTTCATGGGCAGGGACTTTGCCATTTTCCGAACTCTGGGGCATCACCATCCCATCAGAACAGAGCAGCACGACTCCCGGTGGCTAAATGGTATGTAAAATGCACATTTCTCTGGTTACACTCATCCAGCCATTAAAGACTAGCACACAGCTCTGTTCCAGCAACATCTGTGACATATACACTCCTCTTTTTTTGGGGGCAGAATTCTGCCTTAAACCAGTTAAACTAATCAAAAGTGATTTATAAAGAAGCATTTTTGGTTTAATTACACTAAGATTTGTGGAGTGTGATTAAATTTAAAACATACACAGACAGTATGAGCAGCATAGTCATGCAAGTTGGACAGAAGCTCAAGGCTTGAGGCATCAGCCACACATGAACACAAAGTAGCTCCAGAGCCTTGGGCAGGACTGTGCTTTGTACAAGGTTTAATTTTTGCTGGATTGAAGGGGACACTGGCCACATCCAGCCAAAAGTCAACCAGCAGAACTTCGTGAGCAAGCCAGAGTTGTCAGGAGTTTGGAAAAAGAGAAGGGGGTCCTGGGGATTCCAAGTGATTTGGTTTCAAAATATCCAATAGTTTAGCAAGGCACAATAGCTTGCATTACTGTATGGATATTAGCAATCAAGCCTGTGGTTGTTTATTTGCATGTCTGAGGAGGGAAAGATAGTTTCAGAGGAAATTTGATTTTGCCTTCATGTACCAATATACTTTAGAATACATCTGAGTACTCTGTCCAAGTTCTACTGAAGTCAAATTTACAATAGCTCAAATGGAATTACACTTGGATTTAGCTATACAAGGATATGACCATTTTGGAAATGAGAATTCATTGTCTGAAAAAGCTGACATTTGAATTAAGTAATACTAACTGTAGTTGCTGAGTTAATTTAAATTTTAATTTTTTAAGTGTTAACTAGCTCTACTTTGGCTGTACATACTGCTTGCACCTGCACTCCTGTTTTTGAATTCACAAAATATTTTATTCTTTGACATTTTTTGCTCCTAGCCATATTATTTATGTCTCTGCTGAGGTCCAGGCTTTCTTATGTGGTTTTACAATTTAGTGCAAACTGTTCACACAAATTTTAATGTGTAAGAGCAGAGTATGTTTTAAAACACAGTTTGTTATTAGTTAGTGAAGATCTTTTAGTATCAAACTGGATATCACATCAGCTGTATATACAATCCATAACAACATCAGCCCCTGACTCATAATTAAAACCACAAAATGTTCTTGCAAGTTGGATTAACTCTATATATAACATACATTGGATACACATATCATATAAGTGTGTATATAACAAGTATGGAGCTGTATTTTAATATGAAAAGTTTATGAATCTGATGCATATCCTGTTAAATTTAGTTTTGCTGCAATTAATGTGGACAACTATCTGTCTGGAGAACAGATTCAAGTCTACAGCATTTCAGTTCTACAATCTGTGTTTATCCAGTAACATAAAAATTGTATTCATTGGGTCATTTTATTGTGACAGTAAACAAGATTTCTGGTCTTCAGGAAGCAGTAAAGTACAAGGGTTATAGACATACCCATCTATCTTGATACCTGGTAGAGCAATAATGTGTTAAAGATGACCAACATCAACTTCAGTTATGATAGTCATGATGACATTTTAAACCCAGTCATGCAAGCAAAATCTGCTTTTGTGCAGTAGATTTGCACAATGACAGCTGAATCAGGAGGATTTATGCAGTGGGAAAATGCAGCCATTGTCCATGGGCCCTGTACTTCCCCGCTGAAGTCGTGTCATTCCGTGGTGGATTCGGTTATCAGGCTTTCAGCACTCCATGTGAGAGCTGCTTTTCCCAAATTAGCACTGAGGTTACATCTGACAGTGCAGAAACCACAACTGCTCTGTGCTCAAGGTGGGGAGCTGATGAACCTCAAGCTTTCTTGAATTTAAGTATTTTACAAAATGAGCATAAAAGTAGAAAGCATTTTTTGTATTCCAGAGTGAAAGTGATTTCCAACTCTTAAATAAAGTTCTTGCACTATATTCCTTTATGGAAAGTTTCAAACTTAATTTAAAACAAGATAAGAATTAAATTGAAACCTTTAGAAATTATTCTCATAACTGTCCATAATTTAATAGAGAATGATCCTTAAGTATGTTTTTAAAATCTCTCTCTCCACTGCAACTTAATACATTTACCTTCCTAATATGGAAAGATTGGCCTAAAATCGGCACTACAACATTCCTATTAGAGGCTCTGAGGCTTTACTGTTAATTTCCCAGTGATAAGATCCTGGCAGCCTTTCCACACAGCTCTCCTAATTTCAGCATCTAACATGGAAATCCAAAAATGATAATAGTTTGGGTTTGAAGCTCTGCAGGCATGCCAGTCCTTTGATAATTGTTTTTAATTTGTCATTTTTTCTTTTTAAAATATAATTACAAAAGAAACTCTGTGTTTGCACATTATTAAAGTGGATATGCTTTTAATGAAACAAGCTCTCATTGAAGATTGAGGTGTTCACTGCTTTCTTAAAGATCTATACAAACTCTTTTTGAACCTTAAGTTTGCAGACCTTTATTAGTTTTTAGTAAAGACATGGATTTCTGTGTAGTGATGAGTTTGCTTTCCTAGCTGCTTTTTACAGAGTGCTTAGCTTCAGGTAAAAAAGGAGTATTCTAAGGGGCATATACTGAAAGCTGCAAGAGTTCTGATCAAACTTAGAGACAAATTCTCATCTCTGTACAGTTTAATAGTTAGGTGGTGAGACATCCAGCTCTAAGTCCTTGCTAGTGTTTACTGCAGTCAGAGCAGGAGCTAAACTGCTTTTTCCATACTGAGGCTAAGGTCAGAGCTGACAGGGTGCAGAAAACACAGCTGATTGGTACCAAAAATGGAGAGGAGAAGGCAGTTGCACGTGAAGAGCTTGTGAACTTTTCCCAGAAATTCTTGCCCTGAACTGGCATAAAAGTAGAACAACATTACAGAGAGTGATTAAGTTTTTGGGATTTAAGCAGGAACACAGAGTTACTACAGATATCACACAGTCACATGCTGGAGATGCTCAACCTTCTTACAGAAATTGTATGTTTTGGGGAAGAGAACTGTGCCCAGCCCAAGGGAAGGTGCTGACCAGCAGCTCTTAAAGACTTCCTAAGTCTCTTAGAGATATTAAATACTCACAAGCTTCTAAAGCTTTCATTTTGTATAAATAATTAAACAGTCACCAAGCCAAATAAAACAAGGGAGACTGATTCTATAGCCATGTAGTCAGGGCATTCATCTAGAAGCTAGGGAACTATACATCAGTCACTGTAGCAGTGTATATTTAATTATTGATACAGAGTTGGCCAGATGTGACAAGGAAGCATTTGCAAATACACAGTAAAAAAGCTGTGCTCAGGGAAGTCATCTTGGACATGAAAAACTGCAGTTCAGTGCCCCAGACTGAATCATGAGCTTTGTTATAAGCCATGTTTATGCACGCTTGAACATTACTGGCTCCTCTGGTACGTGCATGGAGTTTTCTCTGCACAAAAGAAGCTTTGGCAATCTTAACCAGTCCGAGTGAGAGTCAAGAATTGTTTTGAAACTCTCAGAAAAAAATATTCTGAAGTTGAAAAAAATCTTCTGTACAGCTTTACTATAAGGAACAACGGCCTTGATGTTACACATAAACCTTACAAAGTCTTGCTTATTGGCAAGTACACGAATCCCTTTAAATGTGCCATTGCCTCTCATAGTTCAGAGGCATAAAGTTACTTTGAAGAAGCATGGATCATGTCCTTCCTCCATGAACTGCTGCAGAAGTGAAAAAGAAAGATGAGTAGAGGCCTGTGCAGGTGGGAGCAGCTTCCCCTGGTGCCAGGGAGTTCCCTGCTGCTCGGCAGGCAGCGTTTGCTGTACACCATCCCCACGCCTTCCTGCAAGGGCTGAGGGCATGGCTGCAGGCAAGAAGGCAGAGCTGGCAGTGCAGTCTACCAGAGCAAATGCTGAGCAATGCAAAGGCAATGCACCCAAGGCAGTTTTCAAGCTGAAGATTAGAGGAGTGGAAGGAGAGAGCTTAAAGCCGCTCTCATCTTCTCTGACTTGAGCACACGGGATCTGGCCTTAAATTGTTAACATTTTGTAAAATGAATAACCATAAACATTTATTTTAAAAGCAAAGCAGGATTGGGCTGAGCAAAATCTGAAAGGAAATGAAATCACAAAAGCTGCATTAGGATAGTATTATGAATCTGGTTTGCACCCCAGAAATACTGGCCTCACTCACCCTCTTTACTAGACCTGGGGTTAAGAGAGATTGTCAGTCTGGATTTCCAGACTTGGCTTGGCATTTCCTTGCTTTTTATGGGTTTAAACCACTCTATGATATTATTTTAGCATACTTTCCATGGCTTAATTTTTAAAGTGGAGTTGTAACTGTGCTTAGTTCCCTGAGGTTATTGTCCTTGGTAATCTTTACAGTTACATAAACAGCTGAGAGTTATAGAAGCTGAGTGACTGTTCAATAAAAAAGAAAATGCCCTCTTAAATTTAAAAGGGTCCAAGGCAGGAAACACAGGCTTGATACTCTCCTGGCATTCAAACAGACCTGTAGACATCACTTTGTGTGGTTTCCACTTCAGACACTTTGTTGAATGTCCCAGCATTGGCTTTACACATATGTGATCTTGAGTATATATGTATTGCATAGCAGACTAATGTATGGCAACAGAAAGAAAAGATTGCAGATAGTTTAAAGGATTTTTACTTCTCTAATAAAATGCATTAAATGTGACAAAATGTTAGAAATTAATTACTCTTGCTGAGACTTGAGTGTGTACATGTTATGATCCTTGAACCTATAATTAGTCTTTGGTCAACACCAAACCCTTTTCCTAGCTATAGATAAACACTGATGGCCCCCTCTGCTGTGCCACTCCCTAGTTCCTAAATGCCTTTCTAGCTTCCCTTTTTCCAGCTCATTTCCTACACATTCTCAATCCAGATATACAGCATGCAGTAAATACAGGTATCAGCTGTGGAAAAAGGGCCACAGAACCAAACATCCTGGTACCTGGGGTTATGAAACAACATGTGTTCTTTCATAAAATACATCTAAGATATT